ACAGAAGTTTTAACCACCTGAGCTTGGTTATTTACAGTGGAAGGCAAGCTGCAATTCCTTCCTTTGATCTATTTGTTGGCTTCAGGATTACATTTCCCAACCTTGCTTTTTAATCACTGTAAACATCAGGAGGGAAGGAGTCAGTGGAGAGAAAATGGGCTACTGCTTCGTGGTTTTGATCAGCCTGGTCTTTGATGACTTCTCTTTCCCACTTTCAGTGCCTGAACCTTATATGTGACACCACCACATAGTCTCAGGCTCTGGGATCTGCATGTGGAGCTGTATTTTGCCGCCACATCTCCATTCCCAATCCTATCCCCATTCCCTGTCCCAGCAGACACAGCCCTGGGTCTGTCCCTGTTCCCAGACGGAGCGGGGCAGGGTCCCACAGAGGCACATGATCCCTCAATCAACATTCCCTCACCAGCAAGCCTGGAAAATCACACTTGGCTTTACCAAAACCCCTCACCCGTGTGTTTATCCCTGCAGTGCTGGCAAACCCCTGAAGCCAAGGAGCCCAAAAACTGCTGATGGGAATTCCTGAAAGATATCCCAGCACCGTGGAGCAGAGCAGGGCGGCCCAAGCTGCCTTTAAATGAGATAACCCGGGGATAGCAGCAGCCTTTCTGCCACAGGATGGAGCTCAGTGCAGGCTGCAAAGCATTCCTAGGAAGCCTGATAAATACTCTCTGTCGTTGATGTCCACACTGCAGCTCCTTGGTTGTTGCCATCAGCACCCATCTGGCAGCTCAGAAAACCTCCTTTACGTAGGTCTGAGTCCCACTGCAGAGCCTGCACCATCAGTGTGCCTCTGGGTAGATAAACTCCACAGTGACCAAAAAAAATCCTGTAGGGGAAGGTCTTGATCACGTCTGAAGAAAGTACAATACCCCAGAGAAAAGTGAGGGGGGAAAAAAAGAGCCGGTTTTTGTAAAAAGTTGCATGTGAAGAAAGAGCATGTGAACTCTGTGGCTTTGATTTTGTCCCACTTACTCTGTTCACCATCTCTACAAAGTGTTTCTCACACAGATGTGTATTTTTAACAACACTGAAAAGAACCTGCCAGAATTGGAAGCTCAAGCTAATGCCATGTAAGAGGTTAAATGGCATAGGAAGGATTTATTTGCTCTTTTTAAACCAAGAATGGACAAATTAGTATTAATGGGGCTGAACTTTCTGACTGTGAAATTTCACTAAATATAAATATTTAACACGAGAAATCCTCAGAGTTTCTCTTCTATCTGAGCACAACACACAACCAGAAACGGATTTACCGAAGGAGTTAAAAAAGTTTTCTGCAATAATGCAACAAATCACTCTATGCAACAAACACAGACACATTCTGTGGCAGTTTGGGGGGAAAAAAAAAATCTTGATTTATTATATAGCATTTGGACAGTTGTGAAAGCAGATTTGCCAAAGATCAGAATAATCAACTCTTTCACCCAAGCAGGTTTTTTTACAGAAGAAAAAAGCACAGAATGGGCCTGAGCAAAATAAATAAAAATTCCACACTTTTAACCAAGAGAACCTTTTGCGTCATTCAGAAGTATTTACAGACATCCAGCATCTTTTATCATCAAAATGACACTCTGGCCTTTAAAATTGCAACCTTTTCTTACACTTTTGCTTACTGATGGCCTTTAAACTAGTGAGTATCTCAAACCTGAGGCACCTCTTCGTGCAGAGTCAAATGTAGGAGTTTTTAAAGCTGCTCCTTGATATTTTTTCTCTTCCCCTGAAACATCCCTCTTTTGCTGAGCTATCAGCTATGAGCTTTAAAGGCAGCAGAACCCCACCATGAGTCATGGTAAGTAGTGTCTCAAACATCAGTTTTCGCTGCTTGAAAAGGCTTCTAATGCCAATATGGAAATTTTCCCACCTGGAAAGGGCTGACTGTTTTAATACAATTAAATACAGCCAGGAAGAGGGCTGCAAATGGAAACATATATCAGCCATTCATGGTATACAAGCCTCACTCAGCCCAGTAAAGGTATCAGTGTAGCATCCCTGCTCCCCATGCCTGTTTAATTAGCACACAATGAAGGCCACTGAACTTCCCTGCAAAAGGTGTTGCATACTTTGGACAAAAAAGAAAGGAGAAAAGAGGTTGCTTTTAAGTGTAATCCAAAAAAATAGCTCCTTGGCTAAATGGCACTTTTAATAAAGATGTTTCCAGTGTTTGTTTATTTATCAAAAAGCAGTGTTTCTCTCAGGTGTTTTGATTTTTATTTCTGTTCACAAGAAGGAGGGGAAAAAAGGGCTTTACTAAGCAAGTCTTTCAGTAAGACACCAGATGATGGATAGTCAAACACAGAGTCTCCTGTAAACACAGAGGTAACCAAAAGGTATGAACTGACTCATAATTGTGTCAACACAGGTCGCAGACCCTTGGTTTATTTCAGCCTTCCTGTTTTTCCCAGATTTCTTTTCACACTACACTATTTTTTTTAAGACACAGACTCTTTTCAGTACACCTTAGCGGGGTGCAAACGCACACACGTTTTTACACCCAGATGTGGGCAGCTACACACACATGCAGGCTGCACTGCCACAATCACAACAGCAGCATTTTCCACCCATTGCTTAGGGTTGCATTAAACTACACTGTGCAGCCCATGCTCAGCCTGAACCAAAAAGTCCATCCCACCCCTGCCTCAAGCCTTTCCCTGCAGGCTCTTGGGAAGCATCCAAAAAAGAGGAGTACAACAAAACCTCAACAGCCTGGAGCTCCAGCTCATGCAACACTCCAAGACTCGGTGTGATTTTCTTTTTAACCAAAGTGGCAAGACTCTGTCTGACCAAAAGTGCTGGGAGGTGAACAGGCAGCAAAGAGGTCTGTGAGGAGCAGAACCTGCCCATATTTGTCTTGGTCTCTAAACAAACTGAATTAGGCTGCAGCCTTTTCCTTGTACAAAGTTTAGAATCATAGAATCATGGTTTGGATTGGAAGGTTGGAAAGATCACCTAGTTCCAATCCCCCTGCTGTGGGCAGGGACCTTCCTCTAAAAGCCCCATCCAACCTGGCCTTGGAGGAAAAAGCCTTTTGGGGGTCTCTGTTTCATTATTAGCACTGACTAGTGGGTTAAGAAATTGTTAGGGGAGGGTCTGATGGGCAGACACACCAAAAAGCTGAATTCCCTGCAAGTCACAGAGCAGTTCAGCTGATGGTCCAAGAAAGATTTTTCAGTACATTCCCTGATAAAATCACCTCTGGAAACACCTGAGATCTGAAACCCTGAGATCCTTTTAAATGACTTGCAGAAAATGAAGGGTTAAAGACAGGGAAATGGTTCTTCCTTAGCAGAGGCAGTAAAAGAAGCAGTTTAAGGCTAGACTGCAACCACCAGAAATTGTTCCTGGGTGCCCAGAGCGAGGGATCTGCACATGAACAGATCCATCCTGAGCACCTCAGACCAACCACACACATGCAAACCACTTAATGCTATAGACCCATCCAAGGTGTGTCAGGTACCCTGTGTGAGCAAGGAGAAGTTCAGACAACTGTTTGTCTGGGATGTTTCAACCTCAGCTGGATCAGCTGAAAATGGTAGAGCCAGCAAGGGCAGATGACCTCACTGAGGCTTAGCAGTGCCTCATTCCCTGTGTAATCACATCCAGCTCAGCAGGAAAGCCACTCAATAAAAATCAGAGTCACAGAACAAGGATTTGGACCTTATTTCCCACTGTGGAAAAGTCAGCTGCTAAAATTCCCAGTCAACAGGTAATCATTGTCACGAAGCCAAATCCATCCAGAGATCACACAAGGGTCGGTTACTTCACCAAATCATTCATGCAAAAAATTCAAACCAAATTGCATTTAGGACAAAGCACACACACACACACACACACACACACACACAAAAGAGAAAAAAAAAAGCCAGAAATAGCATTTCAGAAACTGAAATAATTGGCAGACTTAACTTTTTTGAGACCACTCTTTTTAGGATACTACACCTTCGTAAAGAGCAGCATTTTATCTGGAGCCATTTTCCCCCTGCAGAAACCAAGGCTGGTAGAACAACAGGGAGAATTCCTTTTGCAGATTACAATATATTAAGTCAGATTTGCTTTCAGCAGGTTCTGTACCTTCAGAAATTGGTCAGGGTTTGTGTGTTTGTCAAGTGACCATAAACTGGGGAAAACCTACACCCTCTTCCACTGCCTCCCCTCTTTTCTTTACCTCCTTTTAGCTCTGCAGCAGAAGATGAGAGGAGAAAATTTTACTGAAGGAGACCATGAAAAGACTTTCAAAACATTCCACATATTTTCTCTGCATAAACACGCTGTGAATTTCTAAGGTAAATAGTGCCAGGGCACTGTCACTCAGACCCCAGGAGTTCACCCAAGTTAGACAAATTATGCTGCCTGTTATCTCAGTTGTTACAGATTCTTGCCTTTCATTCATTCCTTGCCAGTGGCTGGATTTGATGTGTAGGGGAGAAAAGAAGCCTCAAATGCTGAAGTTAACCTTTTGTGGTGAGACCAGTAATGCTGGGCTTTCCAGAGGAGAATGCAGAAGGAGATAGCTGCTAGCCCTGTTTGCCAAGGCAGTAGCCAAAAAAATGCTAAAATTTGGCAGGTATGAGCAGGAGAAGGGCAGTGCTACAAAAATGGCCATTGTAAGCTCTCTTCCAAATCTGCAGTGTTTGGCCCACACAGATAAAACAAATTAAGTAAAAAAAATTTGTATATGTCGTATAAAAACCTACATAAAGCAGTGTCATGGTTGTGGTTTGAATAGAGGATGGTGCTGCTGAGCCTGGTAGAGGTAGTGCCTGTTGCTTCAAACATCATATCCAGACTATAATTAATACTGACCTTCAACTACAATCATCAAGTCTCATTTCCTCCCTGATAAAGAGCTCCTTATTAGAAGGGAATGCAGGATGTGATGGGGGGACCCATTTCTGAATGTCTTTTTACAGCCACAACGGTCCTGGTAGGTAGGTACTGAGTTTTATTTATGCAATACTTCCAAAGAAGGGAAAGGCTCTTACCTATGGTTCTTCGGAGATCTTCACACTGGCTAATGTGAGGGAATTTCAAGATTTCCTTCCACTTTTTGCTTTTGCCTTTGCGTTTCCCTCCACCCCCTGCAGAGAAAGAAACGTCAGGATTAGATTGCTTTAGGGGGCATAGTCACACCCAGAGTTCACCAGCCCAGTCACAGTTCTTATGGATACCAGTAATAATTAAAGATGAGACACAGGTAGATCCCTGGAAGTGTCCAAGGCCAGGTTGGATGGGGCTTGGAACAACCTGGGATAGTGGAAGATGTCCCTGCTCATGGCAGGGGAGTTGGAACATGATGAGCTTTACGGTCCCTTCCAACCCCAGTCATTCTATGATTCTATGATACAGATAAATCTGAGCTTGTTTGGCCTTAACCAGACCAAGGAGGTGGCATCTGGCAGAAGATGAGATTGCTAGAAGTTGGGAGTCCAGGTTTGTGGCCCACCAGGTCCAGTTCAGATGACAGTGCTGAACCAAGCATCTCCAACATCACCTCTGCCCCAACCAACAGCCATTTCACACAAGTCAAATAATCTTGTAAAATTACAGCCCACACCTTTTCAATCTGGATATTCCCCTTCTGGTTTTGGGATAAGCCCTGACTCCATGGCAAAAGAAGTGCTGGAGACTGAAGACCAAAATTCAATTATCACCATCCCCCCTGCCTCCCATTACAGGTACTGCCAACATGGAATTACTGCTAGTGTTACACACTCTGGCCACTGCTGCTTCCACAGAACAGTGGGAGAAAATTAACATAATGGTCTCATGAGGAAAACATCTCTTATTGATTCTTTTCCCTCCTTCTCACTCCTCCAGATCTCCTGAACTGAACTGTTCTCAAGGTGCATGACCCAGCTGGCTTCCTCCAGCTCTGGCTGAACGAGACCCTCAGCCTTTCCATGCTGATGAATCTCCCTCATCCATGTCTCTCCATAAACACCTCACTGCAGGCACCCCTGGCATCTCTGGGCGCCACATCTGAGCTGCCCAGGGGGCTCTGACCAGCAAAGGTAGTGCTTCCAGTAAACCTCACTTTGCTCCTTGCTGGGACTATCCCCCTGGATGAGACAGCCCAGAGGCAGGCTGGGATTCTCCAAGTCTCTGTCTGTGCTGCAGTTCAGTCCCTGCACACAAAATCTGATTCACTTGAGTCTATTTTACATGCACTGGCACATCGAATGACTAATTCAGAGCTGAGTTAATTTTGTAGAGGGGCTGGCAGAGTCACAGTTGCAGACTGAGGATGTGTTAGGTCCCACATGACATTGCAGGCTAAATTAGGAGAGCATTGACTCAAAAGGCAGCAGACCACCACAGAGGAAACATGACCCTCAGAAAAAAATGCCAAGTATTGCACTTTGTGGGGCGTTCCTGATCACACAGAACCTTTGGCATAGGAGTGCTTCTTTTGCATGTCAGTTTTATCCCTTTGCTTTTGGTGGCCAATGGTTTTCCCATCACAGAGTCTGCCTTGAGTTATTTTAAAACTTCTTAATCACAGAAACTGATTGCATTTCTACAGTATGCAGTGTAGAGCAGAGATACCTGCACCAGCCATAAAGGAAGTAGCTTGTTTAGACAATCAGAAGTCTGAGACCCTTTCCAGGAATCAGACTCCAGCAAAGCACAGAGAGCTGTGACTGCCTCCACACTACATAGTATTATGCAACACAGATGTACCCTCTGGGTCTGTAATGAATTCTGCTCCCACCTCACCTCTTCAGTGCATCCCAAACACTGCTGCTAAAGTAATTTCCTTTCCCATCCCTCTAGCCACAGCATCAGAGAGGCTGTCCTGCTCCCCTGCTCTTGCACGCTGAGGGTCTCAGGTACACAAGGTGCTGAGAAGCATTTTGTGGGCTGGGGTGAGCACTGTGATCATCTGTTCACCACTTCCTGAGGCACATGGCTCTGCTCTGGCTGCCAGTGACCACAGGGCTTGGATTCAGCAACCCAAAGGGTCCTCACTGACTTTCATCTCCCAAAAGCCCACTCTTGCAACTCTGCCCAGCAGCTCCTGCGTGCCAGGCTGCCACCTCTGCTTGTCCCTCTTCTCCCTCTCTTCTGGCAGTGCTGTGCCTGAGGCACCCCAGGACACGGTTGGCCCTCCAGCCTGCCAAGAACTCTTGTAAACTCTGAGTTCTGTGCATTGATGTCAAAGCTCCACAGGAATCAAATGAATTAAGTACATATTATCTAGCACTGGGGGAGGGATGGGAAGGAAGGGGAAAGCAAGGAGGGAAACTGCTGGACTGGTGTTAGATGAATGATCCCCCTTTGACAGTTACAGGGTTTGAATCTGGATTTCTGTATCCCTTCCTCAGGCTGTCAACTTCTAGAGTAGATCATCCCACCTCCATGTACAAACATGTGCCCCTCATTCCTGGCTGCTGCCTCTGCCACTGCAGGGACCTGCTCTGCTCTTCCCAAGGATCTGACAGACAGGGGTGCTGCAGCAGGACAGCCAGGAGCTCTCTGCTCTGGGGCTGTGCAGCTGCTTGGGCAGCAGTGCCTGCTCCAACAGTAATTCCAAACATTTCTGGACACAGGAGGCAGTGGGAGTAAGCCAGATGAAAGTATCCTTTAGGGTCCCTCTGCTCAACAGTGGTACATCTTCACCCACTGAAGGTGGAACCTTCCAGGCCCGAGCACTGGAGATTTCAGAGCACACCTGCTCCTCCAGCCACCCTCACAGAAGTCCTCACAAAATGGTTGCATCTTAGCACAGCATCAAGCAGTGCAGGCCATTGCAAAACAGCCCTTGGCTCCAAGTGACAGCTCTGAGATCTGTGCAGGGGTGAAACGATCCCGCTAAGCCGGGCCAGAACACTTTTAAAATCCACTCGACGTAAAACATATATTGATATATTTACATCGGATGATGTATTTCCGACATTAAATTTCCATCAAAACCCGAGAAGGGCTCTGCGGTCCCCTGTTACAACCGTGATCGATACAGCCAGCGTGTTCTCTCCTCTTTTGTGGCCATCCTCCAAAAATAAGCAGCCCTGCCTGATGAATCATTTGCTCTTAGCTGAGCGTGAAGTAGCGTTGCTGCTTTGCCTGTGACGTCTCTATGTTAAAGATTCTGATCAAGTGCTTTAATCGACCTGACCTTTCCGCTCCCGCCTTCTCTCACGGAGCCAGCAGGGTTTGCTGGCTCCAAACGTTCATTCTGGGGGGTTTGAAGGACATAATGAAGTGAGACAGCTGAGACAGAGTAAATTGTCTAGCAGAGCTAAAAGCTAAAAGGGGAGGTTTCTCTGAATAGGTCAGTCATTGTGCAGGTTGCAGAGGGAAGCTTTTCACACGTTGTCTTGATTGCTGCCTTCGCACCATCTATTCTGCCCTGGATTTGCAATCTTCAAGGCAGCTTCTCAGGGTAAGACTTGACAGCTGGGCCATGTATTAGATGTGAGTTCCATCATGTGGGGTTGGAGGGTCTGACTGCTTTAAAATCTTGGTTTGTTGCTGATGATGAAAGGTGAGCTGCCAGCAAAAGCAGGAAATCTCAGCTCTGCTCCCTGGCAGGCACTTAACAACTCAGCATTTGCAAACTGAGGGTTGAAGCTAATTCTTCAGCATGTCAACCAGTCCTGCAGGAAACAAAAGCATTTGCTCTACATCTTACCTACTGAAAAATACATGGCTTTTTTCATATCATCTTGTGATGCCACATGGCAAATCTAGCTCTGATCTCTGCCTGCAAGGAGAGAGACATAACCAGAGGCACAAATGTAAAACATTTGCAAGCAGGAGCTACCCGTAGCCTAAAGTGCCTACTTTTTTTCCCCCTCCATTATTCATGATATACTTACTCTCCTAACAGTGAGAGGAGACAGGAAAATACCTGCACATTATTGAGCCTGTGAGATATTAAGTGGCTTGTCCAAAATTACATGAAAAATCAGAGAAAGAGGAAGGAGTTGAAGAAGAAGCTGAAGCAGCCAAGGTGCTGAGCCCTTTAATCCTGCTAAGGACAGCACCAAGCCATGCTCCTGCTCTGCTGATTGAAGATATTTCACAGCACACAATAAAACATATTGTTGGGTGAATTCATTCCAGCATCATGCCTGTAGCATATTGCATTTGTGCCTCACACCACCATGCAAGGTGGCTTTTAAGCATGGCTGAGCTGGCTTCCTGCTGTTGCTCTGTTCTTGCTCAAGTTGATAAGCCAGCATCACATCCCACACTGCCAGGCCTGGCTGACCCAAGGTAGCCTAAAATTTCAATGCCTCCAACTGTACTAACTGCAGTCTAGTTAACCCAGTTTAGGTAAACTACCCACAAATCACTGGAGGATGACTACAGCTTGTGTCTTCTGTTTGGCAACAGTAGCCAGGCTGTCATCCAAGGCCTTCCCAACAAGAGTAGGGAGCTCTGTATGCTTGGAATGCAAGGCCTTGATTGCACAGCACGTGAAAGCAGTGAAACAAACTCCAAAAAATATTAAAAGTCAAAAAATCATGGTTAGCATCCCATTTCCACTCAAAAGATATCTGTGTTTCTTCTTCTCTTCCCCTCACCATGCTTCTTTTACTCACTCTCTCCCATCAAGGTGTTTATATATATATATATATATAGGGTATATATGGAATTGCCATATTACATTAAGGTCTGTCCAGTACAGGACAGACCAAAGGCAGTTTCAGAGGAAGATCTTGGAAAGCTGCTTCTAAAGTATTTGAAAAGCAGGAATGTTCCTCCCCATCCTAACCTAATTATATATGGTTAACAAAACATGAAGGTGTATTGCTTCCAAACAATTTCTTCTTCTTTTTAAGAATCTGTGTTACTTAAATTCAGGCTGTTCTCATGATCCTGGTAAATGCCCTGAACTGTTGGGTACCTGCATGCCTCATGTGGGTGGGAGTCCCAGAGTTTCACCATGTATTTATGAAGGAAAAGAATACCAATTTTAATCTGCTTATTTTCTTACAGCGCCTCTTCCTAATGAGCCAGCATGAATAAAACTTGTCAGCCCATTGTTTTCCCCTAGGCATTTTTCATGTCTAACACATTTAGCCCCCAAGGCAAACAGTTTCACCCTTA